TATCTCTATCATTATCCTCAGAAATTTCTGGTTGCTCCCCAACATTTGCTTCACTCTCAAGACCGGCACCATGTTCTTCTCCCTGAAACAAATATACCATACACGTCATTCAGTGAGTACACATATGGAAATATACCATACACGTCATTCAGTGAGTACACATATGGAAAACTACATTTGACTATTAGCAGACCATATACCTGTCCAGATGTTGCAGGTAAACCTGATGGATTTTCTACCATCTCTGTGTCAGCAGTTGGTTTTTCATCTGTCCCTCGCTGTGTACCAACTACGACAGGCTCACCACCATCAATTGGTCCTTTATCCTAAAACATAGTATACCATACACTTCTTAAGCTATATGTACGTGGAGAACTGAAAATAATTGATAATGGTACACTTATGGAAAACAGTATGTGACTATTAGCACAAGACATACCTGTACAGAGGTTGAAGGTACAGGAGATGGAATTTCTTCCATCTCTGTGTCAGCATTAGCTTTTTCCTCGGTCCCTGACTGTGTACCAACAAGGACAGACTCACCACCATCACGTGCTCCTTCATCCTGAAACATAGTATACCATACACTTCTGAAGCCTATGTGTACGTACACAACTGGAAATAATTGAAAAAAATATTTGTACACGACATACCTGATGGGAAGGTGTAGGTCCACCAACTGAAATGTTAGCTACTCCAGTGTCAACCATACCTTCGTCTCTGTTCGAAAAATCTCCTCCATCATTTACAGAAAAACCACCTTCATTGTTGGCTTCATCTTGTACCATAGCAGACAAGTTACAGTTATTAATCTTCATGTACATACATTTAAAATACTATATATAAATGTATGTACATGCCATACCTAGTCATCTTCCTCAGAGGAAGAGTTACCATCAGAAAGCTGAGTAATCTCAGCAACTAACGTCATTATATTCTTCAGCCTTGAAGACTTTCTTGTTCCAGACTTGAAGACTTTCTTTGTAGACATCTTTTTAGATGCCTTTGTCACACTCATCGGTGCCTTAACCACCTATTTATTTGGGCCCTGTGAAGCATGGGAAGTTTTGGTTGGTTCTGTCTTTTTGACCTTTGGAACTAAGGCAGCACGAATCTCCTTACGGACAAATTTCTTCAAGTCTTCTTGCATTTATTTATTTTGTGCTTCCTGCCTCTTGAAACACCTCCTAAGTTCAACTACAAACTTCTCAAACTGGGGATCTTCAGAACAATCCTCAGCAGTGTCCTCATTTTCTTCTTCCACAACAGATTTCTGTTTTTTCAAAGCAGGTGCATTCGGGGCTGGTACATTTCTTTTCCTCTTCTTCACACCTACGATAGACCAGTTTAATCATTGATTGGTCTTCAAGGGACAATAATCAGAAAGTATAAAAACAACATTTACACTCACGTATCTCTCCAAGTTGTGGTGGGCGCTCCTGCTTTGGAAATGCAGCATTACCTCCAACCCATTCTTCCTCCTTCCACTCATGACCAGCTAACAACAGTCGCTCAATGTAAGCAACTCTTGGATCCTCAACTTCATCATCCCATGACAGGGATGGAGGACAAATATTATCCTCTGGTTTCACAAGATAGGTTACCTCAACCTACACCAATAAGTTTGTTAACCACTTAGAGAATGTACACTTACTTTTTAAATAATGTACGTACATAAACAATTGTACATACCTCTTCAGCAGCCTCACACTCCAAGATGCTGGATGTCCTGATTGCCCGCAGAGAGGCAAGATGATGGATAGACCTCTGAGTAAATGTCCTGTTAGCTTCATCATCAGGTACTAGCTTAGCAAGGGATGGGATTGTTTCGAACGCAAACAGCTGGAGTGCTAATGGGAATCCATGTAGTGCATAAGACCCATCCTTTACACACCTTATCAGTTTTTGAGCATCTGAAGGGGTTTGGAATTTTGCTATCCTCTCCAAAGTACGGGTAAAAGACACCCTTCCCCAAGGGTATTTGCAGAAGAATTGCACGTCCTTCGTCATCTCAACAGTGAACTTAGAAGGCCTTATGGGGTTATTATGGCACCCTATCACACCATCTACCAAGATTATAAGAGATAAGGCCAGCTGCTTCCACCCATCCATGGTTTCCTCCTCCTTCAGCCAGACCACCAAATCATTCACTGTTGGATTCGGCTTCTCCCCAAACTTCTCCTCAAACAGAGTTTTCCAGACACTTTGACTACCAGCTTTAACCTTTAGCACATCCCTCACGTCTTTCTTGTTGGGATATGTCCCACATTCTAGACCAGTTACCAGACTAAATTCTCTTAATCCGAATTTTATTGGATGACCGCCGAAGACCATCCACATCTCATTCACTTTACTCGTCACTAACTGACGACATATTAGTCCAAGAACAAGCTTACCTGAGAAGGAAGACTTGTTAGCAGGTATCCTAAAAAGGTCCCCAAATGGAGACTCGAGAAGAAACTTCATCTCCTCTTTTCCCTTAAGAACTTGCGCTATGTCAGAAAGGTACTCCGGTTTGGAGTACGCGTTCATCTTCGTCTTCACAGGGTACCGGTCTAGGGCAAAGAGTCTAGGTGGTAACTCTTCAACTATAAGATCTTCAGTCGGAGCCACGCTTGTACTGCCTGCAATTACAAGTGATATACAATTAAGTACGGATGTATGAATTCGTGTACGTACACAGTAATTATCATCATTATATACTCAACATCTGAATTTTGGCGGAAACAGAGATTTCCAATTCAACTTCTCAAATTTTCAAACTACAGATTTAGCAAAATCCGGCAACTTCTATCCCTTTAATCAAACAAGCTTTAAGATTCCGATACACCCAAAGAAACTACAAACGGAATAATATCGGAACTTACCCAATTCCTCCGGCGGATTTCTCGGAGGGAGTTTCCTCCTCGGGGATACTCTGAGTTCCACCTTGTCCTTCTCGGGGCCTTCTTGCGTATGCTTCTTCCTAGAGACTACGTCGTTTGGTTTATTCCCAGCCATCTCGAAGGTTGGTATCTCGCCGGATGTTTCTCAGGTCGCCTTCGCCGGAAAAACTGGAACTTTCTCTTCGCCGGTTTTTTGAGTTCAATGCAATGCCTCAAATCAAGTAGCAGACAATTCGAACGGAGATGTCGAAAACGAAGATAGATGAATGAATTCCGAACTGATTTCTACTTCTCTCTCGAATCTCTCGGAGATGTCGAACGAAGATGATGAATTCTTCGTTTTCTTGAATTTTTTTTTTTTTTTTTTCAAAACAAAAAGTAACTAAACCACGATATGAAACTAAACCGTAACGTAACTGTGCCATTTGGTTTTTCGTCAGGGGCATTTTCGTCATAAAATGGAATAACTGTCAAAACATGAGATTTGAATCTCACTTTGCCAAAGGGTGAGATCAAATCTTTTTTTCATGTTAAACGTGAAAATTTCTTTAAAAGTAAAGCATCATAGTTCAAAAGTGTTACTAGATACTAGTTTTTCACCTTTGTTCTCTTTTTGACAATCCTTACAACACACAATGTAACAGTTTATTAGTCTTTGTTTGTATTAATTCTTACCTTAAAGGTTAAAGCCTGCAACTAAATTGTTACCAGTGGATGCACAAGAATGCCTAAAAATCTATATTTGTGTTCTGTGTTAATGCAGAAGAGAGCGAAAAACCGAGTATCGGCCCTCTGCATGTTACATAAGGCAAATATGAGTTTATGAAGTTTCAGTGTAAATCCACAAGCTATAAAACAGTTTTCAAGTATATATAGATAAAATAGGACAACGGTTTTTCACAGATTTTCTAAACTGTAAGTTAGAGCAACGTAAATACAAGCGAATAACTACTAATCTACTCTTCTCAAGAATAGTTGCTTTGTATCTATATTGCTGCATCTGCCTACCTTAAAGAATCTTTCTACATTTCTAAATTCAAATTGTAAATTACTCCTACAGAGATTCAGTGAATCATCATTCTTTTCTTTCATAGAAGCCTCCCTTTTCTATGTTGATCACTTATTAGTTCACTCGTAGAGGTTCATCAAATCAAACATATAATAAATTACCACATTAGGTGTTTAAGCATCGATCTCGATAGCTGGTAAAACCGCGAATGTAAAAGCAGATTCAAAATTCCAAATCCAATGAACATTTAATCGTATCATGATTGAGATTTAGGATACTGAGATATAGAAGATATAAGCTAACTAGTGATCCTACTTGCTCGATTATACCGTAGTTTTTGGAGAGACTTCCTGGTCGGTCATCCACATTCTCGCTCCGCCATCGCGTACCATATGATGATCTTCAGATTCCGGCGGCCTCCGTCGTCGTTTGAACTGACTTCACAGTGTGTACTTAGTGATCAAAATAGAGCAAAGAAGAGTATTACTTGTTTCAGTCTTAACCGAAAATAAACCGTCTTTTTTTTTCTTTCTTTCTTCTTTTGTGAAATTATCCAAAAGCCCAATTTACAGCTAAGCAAATATATAATTTTTTTTGTAATGAAGTTTAATTTTTTATATATCGACTTAAAAATTTAATACTAAATTTCTAGTCGCTAGAGAAGACATAAATCTCACTTTTTTGTTTTAACATTACTAGTGTCTTTATTATATACACATCAACAGATGTGGAAATAGTACTGTCATGTGAAAATATAATTTAAAAGGATAAAGACAAATGAATATCGTGAAGTAGGATTCAACATATCTCTTTTTTTTTTTTACACATGTAGGAACAGATATCTTTATCCAAAGTCCAAACAAAGCTTAAAAATGAAAAAAATATTCTACATCCATTAATTATTTCAAGTTGAAATTTTGTTTTATGTCAAATTAGTCGTTTAGAAAAGAAAAAAAAGGTAAGTTTGGAAATAAATGTGATTTCCCTGCATTAAAATTTTACAATTAGTAATTATTTAAAATTGTGAACTTCATTCCATAAAAAGTGATAAACCAAAAAAGCAAAAAAATAATACCAAATATTAACATTTTTTAGTTATAATAATAAAGAGAAGAAAAAAAGAAAAGAAAAAAGAGGAGAGTGTCTGATTTTATTTGTTTGTCGAAATCTGGGAATCATCTGATACTCTTCTTCTTCTCCATCATCGATTTGCTACAATCTATCGGCGTCGAGCTCTATTGGAATCGGAATCTGTAATTTCCCGATCCGGCTAATTCCTCATCGTCGGATCATCATCCATTAGATTATTATTATTATCCAACGAGAGTGTGTGTGAATCGGAGAGCGAGCGAGAGAGAGAAAGAGGGAATGAACGGTGGTGATGAGGTCGTCGCAGCTTCGGCAGACCCACCTCTGCCTTTGGAATGGAGATTCTCTCAGGTCTTCGGTGAACGAAGCGCTGGTGAAGAAGTTCAAGAAGGTTAGACATCTGTTGACTACATCGGATTGTTTTAGCTCAATATTCGATCTAATCTATCAAATTGGAATTGGTGTTTTTGAATCTGGGTATGTTAGATCTATTGTGTGTTCTTTGATTGTTCGATTAATTTCGTTTTCATCAATGGAAAAGTTTTGATTTTTGGTCAACTTTGTTATCTGGGTAATCTGAAAGGTGTAAGCTTTGTGGTTGAATTAGATTCAATACTCATTTTCCATTTTGTTGAAATCGATGTTATTCTGAATTTTAGTTGGAAATTCTTAAAAACTGTAGCTGGTGTTTCCTCTGCAGTTGATATAATTTCAGCGATCGAATTTGATAATTCTGGAAACCATCTTGCTACTGGGGATCGTGGAGGACGTGTTGTTCTTTTCGAGAGAACCGATACCAATAATGTATGTCCACTTTGCCTTGCAAGTGTTTATTGATATGCAAATTTGGACATTTGGTTAAGTTGTTGTTGTTGTTGCATGCTATCGATTACAGAGCAGTGGAACCAGGAGAGAGCTTGAAGAAGATGATTATCCACTGAGGCATCCAGAGTTTCGTTATAAAACAGAGTTTCAGAGTCATGACCCTGAGGTATTTCGATTTACTCTGTTTTCTTACTCAGCAGTTTTGTGCTTTATCATTTTTCTGTCTTTTCATGCTTGATCATTGTCTACCAGTTTGATTACCTCAAGAGTTTGGAGATAGAGGAGAAAATTAACAAAATTAGATGGTGTCAAACAGCAAATGGAGCTCTTTTTCTCCTATCGACAAATGATAAAACCATCAAGTTTTGGAAGGTGAGAATTTCCTCTATATCGTTTGTTTGCTTTTGGATATTTAAGGTGTACAATGATAAAGCTGATACACTTTCATAATCAATCTTGAGAATGTTGAAATTTGAACTCTCTGGGTGTTGACATTGTTTGTTGCGTTGCTTATTGTATCTAGATGGTTCTACATCCTTAATATAGTACAGAGTTTCTCTTTGGATCTTTTATATCAACAATCTGTTGAGATGTGTATGTAGACGTGGTTCTTTCCTCTTTTTCTTATGTGAGAGTTTTAACAGGTTCAAGACAAGAAGATCAAGAAAATTTGTGATATGAATTCAGATCCTTCAAGAACTATAGGAAATGGAACCGTTGCAAGCTCGAGCAATTCAAACATTACAAGCTCATGCCTTGTGAATGGAGGAGTATCTGAAGTGAACAACTCCTCATGTACTGACTTCTCTTTGCCACCAGGAGGCATCTCTTCGCTGCGATTACCAGTGGTAGTTGTACTCTGAACAATATGTTTTCTTTATTGTCTGTGTCTTCCTAACTATTTCAAACATGCTAGTTTCAGCACAAACTCAAGTAAAACCTGCATCATAGAGCCAATCATTTATCTAACCTTTTTCTGGGTGATTGCTAAAACTCAAATGCAGGGTTTACGTTGGCGCCAATTGAGTTGAAGTAATATAGATCATATCATGTAGTATATGCGTCCAGAAAAATGATACAATTTGCTCAAATTTACAGTTAGTGATGCTGGACTTGTGTTTTTTCGTACTTGTCTCTTGTGCATTTTCCCGTTCCATGACCTTCTCTACCACTGATTAGGATTTAATTCTTAAGTCATGCAAAATTACTTAATATTGCTCATTTGTAGACTAATAGTGCATTTGACTTATACAGGTAACTAGCCATGAGTCAAGCCCTATGGCTAGATGTCGAAGAGTATATGCTCATGCTCATGATTATCATATTAATTCAATCTCAAATAACAGGTAGGGTTTTCACCTATTGGAATTCAACTTCCTTCCTTCTTACTAGCAACTGCTTTATTTGTCCGCGAGAAATTATATGATGTCACTATAAGTCGTCTGATAAATCATTGTCTTTCCAGATAATCAATGCACCTTTTTAACTTTCTATTCAGACTGACACCTTGTTGATATTTGTTCAGAGTTCTATGCTTTCATTGATAATGTTCTGCTCTTAATAATTTTTCTCTTATTATTAGTGACGGCGAAACATTTATTTCTGCTGATGATTTGCGAATAAATCTTTGGAATCTGGAAATTAGCAATCAAAGTTTCAATATTGTTGATGTCAAGCCTGCGAAAATGGAAGATCTATCTGGTAAGCCGTGGTCTACTGTTATCTCAGTCCAATACGTTACCCATCTACCATGCAATTGGATGCTATATCCTGCCTAATTACGACCATATTCGTTCATGCAGAGGTTATCACATCAGCAGAATTTCATCCTACCCATTGCAATATGTTAGCCTATAGCAGTTCAAAAGGTTCAATTCGCCTGATTGATCTGCGGCAATCAGCTTTATGTGATTCACATTCAAAATTGTAAGTCTGAGACTGGAAAATTTGTTAAGTTTCTTTATAGTCCAGTATAACTTCAAGGAGGATCTAAAAACTTGTATAATCATCTCAATTACTTCTTTATTTCATCAAAATTCGATTGCTACTATCTCTCTTATGTTTCTGTGAAACCAAAACATTTCATTCCAACATGAGAGATAAGTTTCTAGCATCATACCATGGAATACTCGATTATTATTGAGATGGATAAAGCTGCATTAGAGCAAATTAAATGACATTACTATTTTTTAGGATTTGATAACCTGTAGTAGCAGCAAAGGCTAACATTGCTTGTTTCTACAGGTTTGAGGAACCAGAGCAAGCAGGTCCTAAATCGTTCTTCACTGAGATAATTGCTTCAGTCTCAGACATCAAATTTGCAAAAGAAGGAAGATATCTACTCAGCCGTGACTACATGACACTTAAGGTCCATACTTTCACTGTTTTCATTGGCATTCAATATGAATGCCCTTGAAGTTATCAGTGGCTGGTTTCGAATTGTTCGTGTAAGGTAAACTGACCTCATGCTTATGTTTTACATGCCAGTTATGGGACATCAACATGGACGCAGGTCCAGTAGCAACTTTCCAGGTTCATGAATATTTGAAACCAAAGGTCAGTTTCCTAATACTTTGAGTGAGCTACAACATTTGGCGAGTTGATGCATAGCTGATTGGTATTCCCTTTGTGGTCATTTTCAGCTCTGTGATTTATATGAAAATGATTCCATCTTTGACAAGTTCGAGTGTTGTATAAGTGGCAATGGTTTGCGAGCAGCTACGGGTTCTTACAGGTATGCACCGAAAATTAGAGCATCTTCTTTTGTTATTCGCATTTTCAAAAGACTAGGATTCCTTGTATAATCATTCGTTCGATTTTATTCACTTTCCAGCAATCTGTTCCGTGTGTTTGGTGTTGCCCCGGGAAGTACTGAGACTGCAACCTTAGAAGCAAGCAGAAACCCAATGAGGTAAACTTGGTAAAGCCATTAAGAGTAGTGTGGTCTTCTGTTTCTTCTCTGTTGATGAAATGGAAATTTGTGTTGTGGTTTATCATAGGAGACATGTCCCAATTCCGTCGAGGCCATCCAGAACACTAAGCAGTATAACGCGTGTTGTAAGTAGAGGTCAGTTTCTCTCTCGGTCTCTCCCCCCCTCGCTTGTTTAAGTATTATACCCTTTAAACAATTGGCATGAAAATAATAAATACTGAAATGGTAAAACAGGATCAGAGAGTCCTGGAGTGGATGGAAATACTAATGCTCTTGATTACACAACAAAGCTGCTGCATCTTGCTTGGCATCCAAATGAGAACTCAATTGCTTGCGCCGCTGCAAATAGCTTGTACATGTACTATGCTTAACTCAATACTCAGCCAAAAAAAAGAAGCAGAAAAGGCGCATCTCCTTGCTCTAGACTCTGTTTTTCTTTGGTTCCCTATGGGTTGATTGATGGGGATTGCTATATACATCATTACCATCATCATTGTCACTCACACATGACCTGTAATCAGCAAAGGCAAGCAGTGAAGAACCAAATCATTTTCTCTTTTCTTTTCTTTTTTTTCGTAAGTGTAGAATTTTTCACTTGGAAACTACTTTACAGGCCAAGCAAAAAAAGAACAAAGAAAATCCGATTGGAAGAAATCGTGATTTTAGTAAGCTAATCATCTCATATGACTTATGGATGGATATAGATTAGATATTTTATAATCTTTCCTGGTCTTTTGTGTAATCATTGTTTTATTGATTCTTTTGTTAAACTTGTTTCTTACTTTCTTTACTTCTTAAAATAATACATTTCATTTACATATTTTCTTCTCACTTTGTTTATTTATTTGGCTTTTTATAATGGAGATTTATAAAAAAAAAAAAAAAAGAGAGTTAAGACCTCTGATGTCAAAACGAATCATGCCACAAATCTGATTTGCAATTGATCTTGTGGCTAGAAGACTTAACCTGAGCCATCCATTTGTCGTCCTAGAGAGAGCTACAAATTGTAGCCGTAGAAGTGACGTTAAGAGCGGTCAGCGATCACGGAAGTCGGCAGCTTAACGCTATTGTCAAACGGGAAAAATGTCGTTTTATCTCCCGACTTTCAAAAAGTGGTCAATCAATACGTCAACTTCATATGTGGCCATTTAAAACATGAAATAAATGTTGACTAACGTTTGAGACATGAAAATTCGTTAACAAGGCCAAAATAGACATGTCATTATTAGTCGTTAACGGAACCTCTAACGCCCGTTATCACCCGTAACGACTCTGTTAATCAACTTTCAAATTGTGGCCATTTCAAACATCAACTTCATATGTGGCCATTCAAAACATGAACTAAACGTTGACTAACAATTTGAGACATAAAAATTCGTTCACCAGGCCAAAATAGACATGTCTTAATCAGTCATTAACAGAACCTATAATACTTGTTATTACCCGTTATCGACTCTGTTAGTCTGCCCAAAACGACGTCGTTTTGAAAATAATCGAGAGGAAATCAGGACAAATTTTTTGTTTAAAGCATAATCCAAGGACATGGTTTGATATAGAGACAATCGTAGAGCCAGTAATTGGAAGCAAACATCGTTTATATATTTGGTTTAAATCTAAAAAGGAATCATGGAAGCAAACTTGTAGACCCATCATAGGACTAAATGTAGCTTTTCTGAAATGGAGATGGAGATAATAGAACTATTCATCTTGTTTGAGCTGTTGTAGAAATAGATTTGGGGATTGGTGTTTTTATTTGGGAAAAATCTTGATTTTCTCTCGATTATCCTCAAAACGAAGTCGTTTTGGACATACTAACAGATTCATTAACGAATGAAAACGGATGTTATAGGTTCTTTTAACGAATGATGACGACATGTCTATTTTGGTCTGGTCAACGAATTCTAATGTTTCAAATGTTAGTCAACGATTAGTTCATGTTTTAAATGGCCACATATGAAATTGATGTTTAAAATAACCACAATTTGAAAATTGACTAACAAAGTTGTTAGGAGTGATAACGGCATGTCTATTTTGGCCTGGTCAACGAATTTTCATGTCTTAAACGTTAGTCAATGTTTATTTCATATTTTAAATGGCCACATATGAAGTTGACGTATTGATTGGCCACTTTTTGAAAGTTGGAAGATAAAACAACATTTTTCCCATTGTCAAACCTTGTTTCTGACACTTGTGTGGTTCTGGTTCGGTGTATCACGATAGAGTAAGTACAAATTGACGATGGTGATTCAGTGTTCTAAGGTGGGGTTCCAAGTGTAATGATGCTTCTTTTCTTCATGATCCAAAGAAATAGGACTTTGCTTATTACGCACGCTATCTCTTACTTTTGTCTGCTAATTCTCAAGCCTTAGTGGGATCGGAGCATCATAGCCACTGAGTTTGTGTGTACCCTCGTTGATTTTAAATTAGGGAAAAAATTTTAAAAATAAAAAATCTCTAAACTTATCTTTTTGTCAAATAATCTTTTTAACTATTTCATTAGACCATAACCGTAAATTTATGCTGATCAACCCATTTTGATCTCTTTGTTAATCCCATTAATAAAAGTTTAATAGTAATTTTTTTGACCAAAATCGAAATCTCTAACTTCAAATCAAAATCCTCAAATTTGAGCCAAATCGTTTCCGTTGTTTCGTCTAAACTTTCACTGCTTTCGAAAATCATCAACTAAAACTTTTTTTTTTTGACAAAAACACTACATTATTTCGTATAATAACTTTTAAAACACATAAGGGGTATTTTAAAATTCGTCAAACAGTAAATTTCTTTTTCAAAACGGATAGGTTGAGTTTATCTGTTCCTAACTTTCTCTGTTTAAATTGTTCTTTTTACATACTATTTTAAAATTGTGTGTAACAATGAAAGATACATCTATACTCGTTTGACGTTATGGAAAAATGAAATCAAATCAAATCAAAAGATAAAGTTGAAGTCAAGCGAACAAACTATAGTCTACGATATTATATAAGTTAAGTCAACAAGTCAATGATAAAGTTCAACGCGTCGAATTTTGTGACAAAGAAACCATTGAGGAAAATTCTAAGAAAGTTCACTAAATCAATAGTTTTGCCCATAACTATATTGAAATTGTGCTAATATTTCAGGATTGCTCAATCTGTTTCCCCTAGTAAGTTATGTAGTAGATCCATAAAGTGTACGATGCCGTTAACCGGTCGCTCATAAATTCATAACCCTCAAAGTTATTCCTAAACATTTTCATTAGCAATAAATAAATTGAATGTAATACAATAAGGGAAAATTCCATAAAAATACACCAACTATTTTTCTATTACCTTTTTAATACACAAACTATTTTTGTTTCCAGAAAAATACACTAATTAATTTGTTTGCCCATATTAATACACAAACATTTAGCCACGTTTCCAGTTTACAATCTCGTCTCGACTAGCCTTAACGACACTGTTAACGGTGGTAAACTTATGTTAACTATGGTTTAAGTATGGGTTAATTGTTAACTATGATCCGACCCGTTCTAAAACCTGACCCGATTATTTTCATTTGTCTAGTGAAACAAAATCCCCAATTTTCACAAACCCTAAATCCCCAAATCTCATGAACCCTAAATCGAGAGTATGAGAGATATGAGTTCGTCATTGTATTGAGAATCCAAGTTCCGTTTCACTAAAATCAAGAGAAATGAGGTACGCATTCAACGAATCTCTTTTGATTTGTTTCCATCTCTTTGTTTTCATCTCTTTCAACGATTCTTTTTTTTTTTTTTTTTTTTGAGCAAACTCTTTCAACGATTCTCTTAGATGCATTTTTATCTCTTTTAGTTTCTCTGATTCTTCTCTTATTTTCGTTCTAATCTATGTGTAGTCACAACGACCACATGAAGATGCACATTACGTATGGTGGTTCAATGTCGCTGACGGACAACAAGTTCTCTTATTCTGGTGGAAAGTTGGCCATGAATTATCGCATAGATCCAGATCTATTGACGTGGTCAATTTTCCAAGAATTCACGGAGAAACAAGGAGTTGCGAGGGGAGTGGAGCAAGTGTGGTATCGACTACCAAGTGAGGATATTTCAGTGGCAAGATGCATATACAAAGACAAGGACAACGAGATCAGACAGTTGTGTTCAGAAGTAACAGAAGTTCGAGAAGTCTATGTGTACACTGTACATGGTGTATCTCCACCAATTATGGGTAATGTGGCTGATATTGAAGCACATGTGGATGATGGTGAAGATGCGGATAATGAAAAAGAAGAAGATGAAGAAGAAGAAGAAGAAGAAGAAGAAGAAGTGGAAGACGGTGAGCTAGATCCCGTAGGAAATGATGTTGTTGATGATGATACGAGACATGCTGAAAGTGAAGATGAGAACGGCAACGTTGGCGAGGAGGCTGCTAATGAAGGAGCTGTTGATCCACCATCTGAGGATGAAGCTGTGATCTTAGGTGAAGGAGCTGTTGATCCCAGATTTGAGAATTTGTTTGCAAATGCTGAAGAGGAGTACCGAGATTATGGTAGTGTTCCGCAGAACGTAGATGCTGATGAAAGTGAAAGTGAAGAGGAAAATGAAATTGACGCTTGTGAATATCCAGATTCTCCGATTGATACTGATGACGAGTGGGCCAATTTCCATAAAAAAAATGATAAATGCAGGCGAAGGAAAGGTAAGGGTCCTGCTGACTATGATAAGCCTCCATACTTGTGGTTGATGCAGACATTTAATAATGGAGATGAGTTCAAAGACCAATTGTTGAGGTATGTTTTGAAAACTCAGTATGATGTGAAGCTTAATAGGTGGGAGTCTACAAAGCAAGCAGCAATATGTACTGAACCCAAATGTCAGTGGAGGATTTATTGCTCGGTGGAGAAACCTTTACGAAAGTGGATGGTTAAAGTATATGTAGATAAGCACAATCACGTGCCTACGGGAAGAGCAAGGATGCTGAAACAAGGTACCATTGCCAAGTTGTTTAAAGAGGAAGCAAGAAGAAGACCCGACATAAGAAGTACAGATATTAAGGATGAGTTGATGCATATGTACAATGTCTCGGTATCAATTTACAAGTGTAGAAAAGCAAGAAGAATTGCATTAAATATGGTGCTAGAAACTCAGAAGCAGCAATTTGCAAAATTATGGGATTATGAAGCTGAGTTATTGCGAGCGGATAAGAATACTACTACAGAGATTGTTACTGTTGAGAAGGATGGTATACAAGTATTTGATCGCTTTTACGTCTGCTTTGAACCCCTTAGAAGAACTTGGAAAAAATGTTGTCGCCCTTTGATAGGTTTAGATGGTGCTTTCTTGAAGTGGGAGTTGAAAGGAGAGATACTATCAGCAGTTGGTAGAGATGCAGAAAATAGAATTTATCCTATAGCTTGGGCTATTGTTAGGGGTGAGGACAAAGATTCATGGGAATGGTTCATTACAAAGCTGAAGAACAACTTAGATTTGGGTTTAGGAGATGGATATTCTTTTCATTCAGACAAACAAAAGGTACAAGAAGTTGCTTTATTATTTCAAAAGTAAGACAAATAAACTGTTTTGATAGCACTATCTTACACATCTTTTTTGCAGGGTTTAAAAATTGCTCTAGCTACTGTTCTCCCAAATGCAGAGCATAGGGTCTGTGCAAGACATGTGTATGGGAATTGGAAGAAAAAATTTGGTGATCTTGAGTATAAGCCTTTCTTCTGGAATGTGGCATACAGTTACACTGAAGGTGAGTATAAGTTGCACATGGAGGAGCTGCGTTTATATGACAGAGAGGCGTATGAGGCTTTGTTGGCTGCAGAACCACAACATTGGTGTCGTGCTTTCTTCTCCAAAATTGGAAGATCTTCTAATGTCTGCAACAATCTATCAGAGAGTTTCAACAGGACTATAAAAAAAGCTAGAGAATTACCTCTGATTAATATGTTGGAAACCATTAGAAGACAAACCATGCTGCGCATTACTCGCAGGTTTAAGAGGGCAAACAAGTGTATAATGCAATTCCCACAAAGGATAGCAGATGTATTGGAAGTGAGTCGTAAAAATAGCAAAGATTGCATGATAATCACAAGTAGTGATAACTTGTATGAAGTTCTATTGTATGGTTGCGGTCATGAGGTCAGTCTACGAATAGGAACTTGTGTTTGCCAACGTTGGGACCTCACTGGTATACCTTGCAGTCACGCAATCTGTGTCATCAATGACATTCGCCGGAAACCAGAAGAGTAAGTCAAATTTTATTTTCATCAATGAACATGTGATATGTTTGCTATACAATTGATTATGAGTTTGGTTTTGGACATTTGCAGCTATGTTGTTAACTATTATAGGACTGCAGTGTGGATAGATACTTATAGGGACAACATAAAACCAGTTAATGGGGAGCTCTATTGGCACAAAACCGGTAAGGAACCCATTGGAGTACCAGGTTTCAGGAAGATGCCAGGACGTCCTAAAAAAAAGAGGATAAAACCTGCACATGAGTCTCCAACCAAGCCCAACAAAACAACTCGGCATGGAAGGACAGTCACTTGTAGTAATTGCAAGCAAATTGGACATAATCGTGGGACTTGTAAAAATCAATCTTATGTGGTTGAAGGTGCAAAACGCAAACGTGGAAGACCTCGGAAGATACCTGTAAGTGTAACTCTTTCCCTTTTAACACATTTTCATCTCATACGGTCACATTTTCTTATGTTTGGTTTGTCAAACATTTCAGCTTGAAAGTGAAAGGAACCCAAATCCACCAAAAAGGCAAAGAACAACACAATCACAATCTTCCACTCCAGCACCTGCCGCTACATCAACATTCCCACTATCATCTAGTGCTCCTTCACCTGCATTTTCACATGAAGGGACAGCTACTGCACCACGACGTGGCCGTCCACCTGGACGAGGTCGTGGTCGTCCTCCAGTCCGAAGACAGCCATCTATCCCAAGGGGAATTGGGATGTACATATGCCCTTTCACAGATCGAGTATTTGATGTAAGGGGAAACAGAGTACGAGATCTTGGAGGTGCTCCGGCTTATAACACATCTCAAGGACCACGTCAACTCTAGTAGTATTACCATTTCGTCTTTTGGATTCTATGTTGAATTTTAATTATCTCTTGCAATTGTTTTTGGGTTGGTAAACTTTACTTATGAACGTTTGGATTGCATATATGACAATCTCCTCGTCTCTTTAATTGAAGTTCGTCTCTTCCAAAAGTCCTAAATAAACCTCAAAATCAAAGCTAAAGCTCGTCTACGTCATTATCAAACTAGTTAGGGTTTAGATTTGGGGATTTTTCTAAATTTATTTGGATTTTAACCCAAGTTAGAGATTTAACCAAATAACTAACGGAAGTTAACCACCGTTAACAGTATCATTAGGTCTAGTCGACGCGGGGTTGTAAATTGGAAAAGCGGCTAAAAGTTTGTGTATTGAAATGGGCAAACAAAATAGTTGGTGTATTTGTTTGGAAGGAAAAATAGTTTGTGTATTAAAAGGGTAACAGAAAAATAGCTGGTGTATTTTTGTGGAATTTTCCCATACAATAACTATCCTAAAACATTAGTATGATAAAAAAAAAATTACAATACATAACAAAGTAATAATATTTCCAAATGACATCAAAATTCAAAACGATACTTATTTTAAAACATGGAGATATATCTAAGCGAAATTAATATCGAAACAGAAAAAGAATCAAATTAACTACAAAACAATTAGCAAACTTACAAAATAGAAAACAAAGGTCAACAAGAAATAAATCTAGAAATCTTCATCAACACAAAACTACTATCTTTTCTCTCTATATAATACCAAAAAAACAAAAAAAAAAATCTAGAAAGTCTTGAAAATTGTCATTTTGTGGTTATAAATAAAATAACCCACCACCAAATATCTCCACTCTTCTTCTCTCCTCCTGTAACTTGCAACTTTCCACACCAAAAAAGATTCCATCTTTTCTCTTTTTAAAGGTCACCAATATACCTTCACGTAACAAACAAACATTTTCTTTGTATCAAAGACCTCAACTTTTTTCTGATCAAAGATTTTTCACGGGAAAAGGCAAAAAAATGCAGGATCTGACGTCAGCAGCGGCGTATTATCATCAATCGATGATGATGACGACGGCGAAACAGAACCAACCAGAGTTACCAGAACAAGAACAGCTAAAGTGTCCTCGCTGTGACTCACCCAACACTAAATTCTGTTACTACAACAATTATAATCTGTCACAGCCCCGTCACTTTTGCAAAAACTGTCGTCGTTACTGGACTAAAGGCGGTGCTCTTCGTAACATCCCCGTCGGTGGTGGAATTCGAAAAAACAACAAACGATCTGGTTCGTCATCGTCTTCTTCTTCTCCGTCGAGTAATCTCAAGAATCAAACCGTCGCTGATCATCATCAGTCTGGGTCCGGGTCAAAATTAGAGGAAAAAGAAGAGAGGGTTTCGGGTCAAGAAATGGATCCGACCCGGATGTTATACGGGTTACCGGTTGGAGATCCGATTAGTGGTGGGAGTTTTAGTTCGCTTTTGGCGTCGAATATGCAGATGGGTGGGCTTGTTTACGAATCCGGATCGCGTTGGTTACCGAGTATGGATTTGGGTTTGGGTTCGGGTCTACGGAGGAACGATGACACGTGGACTGATTTAGCCATGAACAGAGTGGAGAAGAATTGAAGAAATTGAAGAAGAGAAGGGTAATTTGGTAAATTTGACATAGATGTCTCTTTTTTTAGTCATCTCATAGTCAATATAACAACAAATGATGTCGGTCCATTTAGTGCTATAGTCTTTTTTTTTTTTTGGTCATTTTTTCTGAAATTGGTTCTAGTGAGTTATTAAAAAAAAAAAAAAAAACATTTGTGCAAACTCTAGGGAGTTATAGAATGAGATTGAATATCGTTTCAATATATATATTTATGAATCTGATTTTTTTAAGGTATTATGATTTCTCATCGCTAAATTATCTACTTCTTTTGGAGTTATACTATTGTTATAATGTGAAATTAAGAGTTGACATATATTCTATTTCTTTTTAAGAAAAAAATCTAAGAAAAGTCACCGCGTTTAAATGAGAGTTGTAAATCTAAGATCAGGTATTATAGTCACGAATCAGGATCACACCTGATCTTACTATGTGAACGAGCAAACAAATTGAAAGAAAAGTCAAAAAGAAAAACTAAAATGTGGTCCAAGTAGATGGATAAGTCTCAAGAAATCAATGTAGTCCACTTCTTATGACACTAGTTTGGGTAAAATGATTTGAAATGATGACTGATGAGTTGTTATCAGATTATGTATTAGGATTAGTTTGATTTGTCAATGCCTAACTATATTTGTTATAAATCTCATCCCAATAACTCCTCTTTTGATGGGCCATTCTATTTATATTCCTTGATTTTATGGACCACAATATATATTCGGGGGCTTGTCTGGTCATTTTTGAAGGCTAATTTCAGAATTACAATAACAAGTACAAGTAGTGTAAATCGAGGATGAAATAAAAAGCCATGAGGTAAAACAAATGTCGGTCTTAATAGTAACAAAATCCATTTTGTAACAATGTAAAACTGAAATTTCTGAGGTGGTCTACATGCTGTTCGATGATCTGAATGTTTCAAGAACTAAAATCATCAAAAGAAAGAGAGATTACATGGAGACGAAGCGGGCTTTGTACATTGTGATGTACGCCATATGCCAATCACCTGTGAATGATAAACCCAGCAGAGAAGGAAGAAATAAATCACGACAACTACAGTATGTGAGTACAAAGAAGTGGATTAAAACTATCAGGTATACCTCCTCCGGATAGCTTTGTGATGTCTTCCTCGCGTTGCATGCTCGGGTTGTCATCATCATATTGAATCCATTTGCCTGTAAACCATGTGGATTTTTTGTAATTGATAGATAAAATTGGGTATCAGAGAGAGTCAAGTTTATTAGAGAAAGGAACTAACCACTCTCTTGCTTGACCCATGCAACATAATGACCAGAGTCTGCACTCCTGCCCTTGTGGGTCAGCACAGCGACCAAGTCATAGATTCCAGTCATGTGAGTTTCCTTCTCAGAAGAAGCACCTATAAAGTCCCATTAAAAACATAAATAATTAGATTCTTCACAGTTAGGCTCTGACAAGATTTTTGATTGCTTTGAAGTAAGAAACATAAACAAACAATCATCCAAGTATTACATCCAACCAATTACGGCTCTTCCCAAGACGGAAAAGAAAAATGTTGAAAAGGGGTCTTAGATAATGTACCTTCCTGTGGGTTTACTGTGGATGATTCTCCACTTCCATTTGCTGACGCCTGCAAACAAATACAGAGCAAAAAATCTTCTTAGAAGATTGGACTTGATATAAGATCTCTAAGTCCAATAGATATTGTACCTCTGCATCAGTCATTTTCACATCACTGTCCTTTGAGCCACTCTTTGCACTAGTTTGAAGACCAAGCTTTTTACCTTCCTCATCTCTAAGTTTCTGAAAGACACAGCAGTCAGTTGATTTGGCTAACCAGTTCAGGTAAGTTGAGGTCACCACAGTAGAAAGGGCAAACCTGGCGAGGAGCTTCCAGTTTCTTCCGAAGATCCTCAGAGCAAAGATCAAATATATCCAACACCAGCGGATAATCCACTTTCTTCAAAGATCAACAAGTTGGAGACATTACAATAAGAATGTTGAGCATCTGGACTTTTGCTTAAGATTTAAAAATAGAAAGCAAACGTACCCTGAGAATCTTTGCTTTCTGATTACTCTCCCTTTTCCAGAAAAATCGCACGAACTGAACAGTCAAGTACCTTCACGATCAGTAATAAGAGAAAGAAACTCCGTGTCAGTGGAAAAAGGATTAGAAGTTGCACTACATTAGTGAGTTGACAAAGTAAGGTTCTCTTGTACATGCTGGATATGAAGCATGCCACAAGAGGTTACAGAAAACTGAGAGGTGAAATAAAAGTCACAAACAATAAGCAGAGACTGATTACCTTGGCAAGGAATCTATAAGTGACTCCTTGACGTAAACTGCAGTACGGCCAAGAGCAGGAGATGTTTTTTCAAGTTCCCCTTTCAGTCCCTTCAGTAAACCAGAAGAATTGAGTCCGTTCATCAAATATATAGAATATCTTATAATAAGCAGAATATAACCTAACTTTTCTATATCCGAGAAACATGCAGAAAAATCAGAAACAAAGTCTATATTGGAATTATAAAAGTTGCTTACATGTTTTAATCCTTCATGCAAGTGGTTCACTTCATGTGATATATGACATTTTAGAGAATATACAGATTCTGTCTCTGAGCTTTCTTCGCCACTTTCTTGACAATGCAACCTACAGCACAGGAACCAAACACAATTAAATTTACTAAGCAAGGTGAAAAAACCACTCAAGTATTTACATCTTCAGTTGTCAATTTCACATGGACATACACAGCAACCAAAATTTGATATATTTCCCTGTAGGAAAACCCTCAACATTTATATACCACATGCAGACACACCCACACACCAGCACTTTGATAGTATAACACCGTCTGTAACATTTTCAAGCACACCTAATTTTATCCTTGAGAGGTAAAAAATGACAAAGTGAAATGCTGTGACTACAAAATTTCAAGTATTTCCCTCTGTTTTGCGAATTAGTCAGCTAATAAGGATACCCCGCAGGAGTATGGAGCAGGAGTTTACCGCAGAAGACGATTCACAGTGTTTAGTAAATGCGTGATTTATACAAATAAAATAAGTGAGATATGACACTGAAATTTGAAATTTGCTCAGATACCTGCTCCGAAGATTGACACCAAACAGAGCTTTCACAGCATCAGAATCTTCGCTGGAAGTTGGTGCTTTAAGGGACTGAGAAAGAGTGTATAACAGTTGTGTCCAACATTCTTCAGCATCCTGTTAGACATTTTTAAAGCACGGGTTCACACACTGAAAGGTGAAAACTGAAAGGCTTAATGCAACTGAGTTTGCAATTAGAACAAACCTGCTGCATGTGCATTCCATTCTGCAACTGACTAAACTGAGGGTACTTTTTTCGTAATACCTGCACCAAGACCAAAGTTGGTATGAGCCAAGAGCTTGAAACTTCCTGATCTTATGATTGAAATATGGACACTGATGATGAACTAGCAAAAGGCATTTTAGATGACACTTCCATACAACGCCACAGATATATGATGTATATTGAT